TTGCGATTTTCTTAGCATGACATATGAAGTAGATAAATCCTTTGTAGGCCTACAATCAGTTAGGCAATATGAAAAAAGCTACTAACAAACTACTAACGAATTATGTTATTAGGGTTAGTGTCATGTCATTGCAACTAAGTAGGTTGATACTGAGAACTTGTGGGGAGAAATTTAGATGCTGAAGTCCAAACTAATAGGGCTAGGGACATCTGCAAGGCACTGGTCAGTCACATTGTGTGTGTGCATACGTGTATGTGTGTATGTGTTTGTGTATATATGGTGTGTGTGTGTGTGTGTGTGTGTGTGTGTGTGTGTGTATGTGTATGTTTTAGCTAATATATTATTGATACTTTCTCAAGGATAAAAACATCTCTAAATATCTATTTCGGATAAATTTGGCTCCAATGCTAACTTGTTTTCTAGTTCAAACCAGAAGAGCAGTTTAAAGTTGGAATCTTCCAACACATCGTCCAGCAAAATCACACAGTCCAAGCACACTTGAATCTTCTCCCTCTTTGTATATCAGGATTGAATGTGCTGATAAGATTGCCTTATCCTGGCGTTTTCTTGAACAGCGCAAGAACTATGCAGATAAAGCAAGCAAATCCTTCCACTCCTACATCACTCTAGCAACATTTGAATTGCCAAGACGAAGCAGATGAAATCAAATGGGTTTTTTTTTTTTAAAGCATAACTATTCAGATAATTATTGCAGCCTTCCACTTCGATAAAGCTGTGAGGATCTGGTCTTACATGACTTCCCATTCATAAACAGTACTAAGGAGACAGTACCGAGGCAAGGTCCTGAGAACACCTGCACCGCCACTAGCACCACCTTCTGGCCAGCCCAAGGCATCAGCATATACACTCCAGGGCTTTTAGTGACCAGGTGAATGAATAGCTAAATGTTCAAAATTCTTATTTGGGGGTTACTCATTCAGTTTTGCAAAATACTTTTATCTTAGAAGCACATTTTTCTGATTTCAGAAGAATTTATTTTAAGATTTAAAATGAAGTGAATTCCTTTTGTATACTTATGATAAACTGACCTATATCTAACTTTTTAAGAAGTACATGGTGTTAAAACGGAACACACTTTGAACAGCTATTTATTCCAAGATTTCTTTACTCAAGTACCACTTCCAACCTAGTCCTCTCTATTGCTCCAGAGGAAGCTGGACTGGGGCTAACTCCAGATAGACTGATCGTCTCCTCTGTCCTCATTCCTCAAACAATCCCCAGTTCTCCCTTTCATGGGCACAGGAAGGCTTGGTGAAAGACAAGATGTTACCCTATAAAATTACCCTTTAGGCAGCACCAAAAGTCACTGAGGCAACTAGTCAATTTACATTCCACACCCGGTGGTCCAGGCTTCCAGTAAGGTCAACCCTTTCCAATCCTTGCCTTTCCCCTTAAACCAGGGACGTTTATGTCAGCAGGGGGACTATTAAAGGAGCTCCCTTCTGCCCATATGAATGCTCCTTTACTATGTGCACAGGAAGGACGGTGCTATGACAGTACGGTAGAGCCATCTATTCTAAGTGCCCAGTATCAACCATATGGAGAACTAAAGTTGTTCCAGTTCCTAGATCTCCGTTAAAATATTCCAAGTCCTTGCGTATGCCACTGGCAGTCCATGGCAAACACATAGTGGGAGACAGGTTTACTATGTAGAACCCCAGGACTTTAACTTTGGCAGTGGATTAAAAGTCTGGTTTTCCAAACTAATTTCAATGGGATCACCTATATGTTCTAGAACGTTCTCTCCTTAGTGACATTTACAGAAATCACGTACTTGTAAAATACAATGGCTTAATCAATAACACATCCTAAAATGTAGATCTAGAAATTAAAACTCAAGAAAAAGCTAAATGAAATGAAAAAAAAAATATCCTGAAAATCCCTGTGGACTCGCAGTAATTAGAAAACTATGGAAACTCTACAAACTGCAAACAATAAAGGGAGGGGCATGTTTACTCGAAAGCTGAAGAATGAGTCATTGATAAAAACATTTATGGTCAATAAAGGTGCAGAAAACTATGCTTAGAACTAATAACTGAATATAGTGTAGGGTAGGACCACCTCAGGCATCACTTTCAGCACCAAAATCATGCCACCCGCACCCCTCCTTTTGTACTCAAAAGTACAAAATGTGCTGCGAAAGGTGCCATAGAGCTGAAGACAGTCATACATAACCTTTTATCTATCTATCTATCTATCTATCTATCTATCTATCTATCTATCTATCTATCTATTTTAATAATGCAAATGGAACACTATGAATCTTGCATGTCTCCAAATTGCTACCGTGAAACCCTGTGTTCTAGCTCGCTTTCTGCTGCTGTGACAAATACTATGACCTAAAGCAACCTCGGGAGGGAAGAGTTCATTTGGCCCAGAAGTCACTGAGGGAAGGCAGGGCTGAGGCCAAGATTGAGACCTGAAGGCAGGAACTGAAGCAGAGACCTAGGAAGAACACTGCTTGCAGAATCGCTCCCCACTGCCCGCTTTTGCCCTGCTTTTTAATACAACCCAAGACCCCCTGCCTGGGGTGGCACTGCCCCTCCCCCAGGGCACAGAGCCCTCCCACATCAGTCACTAATCAAGAAAATGATCCACAGACTTGTCCATAGACCAGCATGACCTAGGCAATTCCTCAGTTGAGCTTTCCTCTTCCCAGGTGACTCTAGTTTAGGTCAAGTTGGAAAAAACTAACCAGCCCACCCTACTACCGACTTAGGGTGTGTAAAAAGTCAAGAGATTTAATCATAACCTGTTGCGTTCTAGAGTTCTTGACTAATTTCTTACATTGTACTGAATAGATTATAAATTTGCGTTTGAAGTGAACCCTTTTAGTATATGGAAATTAGATTCGATGTAGTGTTTTGCATTATGTAGATGAAAATGTATGTTTAAGAGAAAAGCAATGCACAAGCATAATGTATTCCAGAGAGGGCCAGTATTTCAACACCCGGCTTTCCGTAATTTCTACTGTATGTCAACCAAATCCCTAAGTAAACTAGATACAGAGTTCTACAAAGTTGTTTCAGCTTTAATCAAGAAAAGGAAATTAACTTCATTTTGAAAAAAAAAGAGGTTTAAGACACCGTTAGTGTCAGGATTTAAAAATATACATTCGAAACTTTTGTTTTTACATTATTGTACACAAAGACTTTTAAGAGCTCAGACTTTCCAGATACAAGAATTGCTAGAAAGTGACTTGGAATCACCCTCAGACAATAACTGCCCGTGGTTTTATTTCAGGCAATGGGCTTGTGCCAGAAAGGACTGACTTCTTGATGAAAAGAGCACCGAAAAGTTGTGAGATTTTTTTTTTTTTAATCCATGAGTAAAAATCCTCCCAAGAGAAACTGTGCTCATCCATCTGCCACCACACAACATGGACAACTAAGAAAAAGTGGTGTTTAGTATTAATTTGTCTTTGCTTTTCTGCCTTTGAGTGATTCCAACTTTCATTCCCAGCTTGGAGTGCCTGTCTGCCTCTCATCCACAAAGCATACTCCACCCCCTACTACAGAAACATGGTATTTGCTTTGACCTTGATCTATAGGACCGGATTTGGCAGGGTTCAGTGGTCCTATTTATGTTTAACTAAAACTGTCACCTGATACATTGCAACATACAGCCTTTGTGGTCCAGCTCCGGGGACACAAAGTGAGTGGGGCTCTGGGAGACAGCTGGGGTGAGGTGCCCACTCCAGTGAGAGAGCTAAATAAAGAGAAGCACACTTCACCACCACAGTACTCTACAAAAATGAAACATTAATAAAAAAAAAGACTAATTGGGGAGGTATTATGAAGACAACTGCTTGCAAAGAGCTCATTGACTAGTCTGATTTTTTGCTCACCTCTTTTGTCTTTCTGACCCAGTTCTTTAATATCATCATTAGCAAGCCAGTCCAAGCAAAACCTACTTTGCTTGGTGCTTTGACACCCACTTGTTGAAATGCCAGGCAAGGCATATGTTAAAAAAAAAATTAAAAAGCTCACTCTTAATGAAAGCCAATCTGAACTCATTTAACTGCCTCTGATTCATCTTTCTCCTTGGAAGCTAATTCTCAGTTGTTCTCAAAGAAAACATCAGATCCAATTTTAATTCACTAAATTCCACCCTCATTTGGAAGGAAAGAGAAAAGAAGACATAAGAAGTAAATGAGGAAACTGTGCATTTTAAGTAGGAGATGGGTGCTTTGAGGGCCATGAGCATCCACAGAGGGCATGCTGCACGGAAGCGAAGCCTCAGATCATTCTTGTCATTTTTTTTCTTCCCCACAGAAGTTTAACATATGCATTTAGCTGCTTTTAATGTATACTTTCCATGTTGCTGTATTTAATCGGAAACCTGACGGTCTTTCCTGTGGACCATACTCCTTATGAAAAACAGCTACATTTTAATTGAGAAGTTACTATGCCTGCCCTCTAAAACTCATTTAAGAGACATTTAAGACATGTCTCTCTTAAAGAAAGTTATAAATCAGAAAAAAAAAAGCATATATATTTGAGTAACGACAGACAATGTGCTCATTAAATAATTAATATCTTCTGCTTTGAAGGATAGCAGGTACACTTGCTTGCAACCTGGGCACAGCTCTGGTTTTCTGGGTAAGTTCTAGCTATCTGTAACGTGGGAGCCACTGCTTTGTTCCAGCCCCGGTGCCATTCTCCTTTCATGCATGTCACAACATGTCAATCTTCTTAAGGAACAGAAGAGTTCCTGTTGTTTGAGTTAAATACATCCTCGCTCCGAGACAAGAATTTTAGTTGTCTATTGAAAATGACTGCAAGTCGGTAAATCTAAGTCACCACCTCCTATCTAGACTGCCATACTGCAAAGCTCCCACATGCTCGAGATGGAGCCCTTTAAAGGTCAGGTGGGGTGGGAACAATAAAGATGAGGCTGGATGAAGGTGAGAGGCTGCTACTTCTACGTGACAACTGCTAAGAAGCTACTGAGAATGTCTTCTGATGACCACTCCTTACCATTTTGAGGATCTTAACAGTCTTGCTCTTCTATTCTCCCTTTCTTCAGTCCAGGGAGACCAACCTGCAAAATACATTGAAATACAGCAGACACACTGCTTCACTCAGCAAATGCAAAACGCCTCCTCAGGGGTCACAGACAAATAAGCACTCTGTGGGCTGAAGATAAGTTCCACGCAAGCAAATTATCCTAAACACTGGAGTCTGTGAAAGGGCTTTCCAAGCGGTCTACAGGTTTACATAGGGGACAAAGGAGTCCCTGGCTCAGGCTCTGCAGTCCTGGGCTATTCTTAGTGTCTGGTTCATCTTTAAATTGCAGTTCAAAAGGTTTAGCAACTTAAAAGTAGACCCAAGTGATAAAAATAGATTGTTTTCTGGCTGCTCTTTGTTCCCAGACATACTACTGGCAGTATATTTGCCATCAAGACAGCAGAACAAGAATCAGCTTTCCACCGTAGTGTAATGCCTCAGAGTGGATATTTTTGGAAATGGCACTGCATTACATAACCTTCCGTGTTTAAAAAAAAAAAAAAAAAAAAAAAAAAAAAAAAAAACCTACACAAGGGAGAAAGTCAGGAATCTACACCATTATGCCCGGCTCCCTAAAGCAGATAAACATTAATGTAGGCGCTGCAGTGGCTCACTCTCCACCTTCAGTCCATCAGAACACAACTCTTTTGTTGCTGTAAGTTACGGCAAAATTAAGATGAATGGAAAAACTAAAAGTTCTCCAAACGGGTATCAGAGGCACTTAGAGTTTTCCCATAATGTTGTTAATAGAAACGTAAATGCAAATCAGGCTATGAGCAGCACCAAGGGAAAAAAAGTAGTCATTTTCCCTTAATGATCCCGCACCCCAAGTTCAACTGCTTCATAAGAAAATACAGAAGAAAAAAAAAAAGTGTTGCAAGAACTAAAACATAAAAAGACCCACGGCCGCAGCAGCAACATGGAAAGAGTAATTAAGTGTAAAGGGTTTTTATAAAGGGAGGGGGAAGCTTGCATGCACCAAAGTGCATTTAATGCACAGCGACAAAACAGCTCCTAACAATGAGCAAGAACAGAATTAACCACACCAGCAAGCAAAACCCCACCCCTTCACAAAAGAATTCATTTCTCTTAACTTGTGCATTAAACAAAGGAGAGGGGAGTCAAGTTAAGTCCCAGCCTTAATGCAGCAGGAGCACACGGACAGAATTCCTCCAAGGTGTCAGCTTTAGCTCTAAAATTTAGAGGGAGAAAGCATGAACTCTGCAAGGTTGAAGGGTCCAGCTTAGAGCAAAGGCAAGGAATCGACACAAAAGAGAAAGCAGCGCTCCCAGCTGGGGATGAGAATGGCATATACTTACAGACAAAAGCCCCGCTCCCTGCTCACTCTCTCTCCTCTCTACACCTGAAACACAAATGTGGGTGAAAAAGGGCATCATGCTAGAAAGACAGCTGAGGGGGGAGGGGGAGGGGAAAGGGGTGGAGGAAGAGGAGGGCGGAGGGGGAAGGGAAACAAAACCCCAACCCGCTTCACTTCCAAGAAGTGTAGCCTCGGAAAAGGAGGGGAAGGGTTCCCTGCCTTGCGCGCTCTCTCCAAGAGTGTGTGTCTCGAGTCTCTCTCTCCCTCTCTCTCTTCCTCTAAATCAATCTCTCAGTCTCAATCTCAACTCCTCTCTCTCTCTCTCTCTCTCTCTCCCTCCCTCCCTCCTCTCTCCCTCCTCCTCCCCCTCCCCCACCCCTCCCACCTCCTCCCCTCTCTTCTGCTGGTGTACTAGCGAACAATGAGCTAATTCTGATGGAGCTGGCGTGGAGCCAGCGCCCCAGCCTCGCTGCCACCGCGGAGCCAGACTGCTTACTCGGCAGGAATCGGCGGCTCGCGGCCCCGTGGGCGCGCGGCCAACCCGCGCGCGCGCGCTCCCCGGGTCCCCCCGCACCCGGGCGGTCGCCGCCGCAGGGCACGGGTCCCTGGAAAGGGGTGGGGGTGGGGGGGCTGGAGCAGGGATGGGGAACCGCGCCGAGCAGCCCCGGGAGCGCAGCGCACACTCGGGCGGCTTCTCCGCCTCGCCGCGCGGCGGCTTTGCAGACAAATAAGGAGGCGGAGGCGGCGGTTTGGGGGCGTGCCAGGCGCGGAGGCGGCCCGCCAGGGAGAGGCGGCACAGCCCTACTGTAATAATAAACCTGCGGCCGGGGCATTTGAGGGAACCGGGACAGCCACGGCCCCGCCGCCTTCCCTTTTATGTGCTTGTCCTGAGCGCAGCAGAAAATGGTGCCCACGGCAAGCGCCCGGGCGCGCGCGGAGGTCCCTGCCCTGGCTGCTCCCCGGCTCCCCACGGCGCCCGCCCCCGCGCGGGGGAAGCCCGGGGCTGGAGCCCGGGAGCCTGGCGCGGCGGGTCGGAGGCTGCGGGCAGGAGTGCACCCAGGCACGCGGTCGCGTGCACAATCACACGCGCGCACTCGGACGCTTTCGGTCCCGCGCGCCCACCTACTGCAAGGGGAGGCGGCCTGGTGGGTGCAACGGGAGGCGCTCGGCCCTGGAGCTCTTCTTACCTTCTATGATTACAAACTTCTAGTGCTCAGCCCCTGTAAAGCAACTTTCCTTAAGTTGTGGATTGCCTAGGGGGAAAAACGGTTTGGTTTTGTTTTTAAATTCATGTAAAAAAAAAATCGATTTTTTTTTTTTCGTAGTAATGCAATAGCTCAAAATGTTGCAACAAATTGGTAGTATTGCCAGGACCGAAGGATATCATACTATGGTAACTGTCAGACGTTTCATGGTGAAGATTAGTTCCTAATTAAATTGCTTGGGGTGCGGGTGGGGAAGATAATAAAGGTTCCTAATGTCTTCTACATTTGCTATCTATATTTCATCCCTAGTCATTAAAAGCAACGTTTTTCCATTTTAACAATGAAAAGACACATTTACAAAACTCAGTTTTAAGCCATATGTTTATAGAAAAAAAATTTGTTTAAAGTCAAGCACTGGATACAGAAATAGCAAACCTTGAAAAGTAATCGTTTACAAGCATAATTCTAAAATAACTATAGGCTTATTGGGAGACTGGAGTGCTTTTCAAACTACAAAAGCCACGTTAGCAACAAGTACCTCTCAGAAGGACGTAAGGGAGATACTCGGGAAGCCCAGGTTCTTCGACTCTGTTGAAAATAATTGACTGTCATTTTTCCAGGAGTATTTCTGGAATGGGAGGGTGGGAAATACTTGGGAAGGGTGGCTAAGATCAAAGGGAAGAAACACAATTCATAGAGCTTCCCTGGAGCATTCATGGTCAGTGTTTTCCTGTCTGAAAATACTGGGCAGCGACAGAAACCAGAGATGAGGAAATGTTCACTTTCTGGATTGGACCCCCTCAAAGGACCGCCATGGTCCGTGATGCCACCAGAGGCCATGTTGGTGGTTGTGGTCCATGCTGCTGCGGCAGGCCAAGATGAAAACTGATCCATGTGGGCAAATGATTGGTGTCTGAGTGATGCCCTCAGGCTTTGCTATCTCTGAGGGCCATGCGGATGTGAATGGTCTGTGTGGCCACCTGAGGCCATGTTGCTGTCCATGGGTTCTGGAAAGCTGGCCTCGACCCCCACCCCCACCCCCGGACTACTGCCTGGCTCTCCTCAGTTTATGGTTTCTGGTGTTGGATGCAGGTGGAGAAAGACCATCTTCCCTTGGCAGGAAGGGGAGGCCGGCCATTAGGAATTTGACCATGCTCCAGTGAGGATATAGACAACACAAAATAGATCTCCCCCTTTTTGGGGGGGCAGACATGGGAGGTGATTGTGATTAAGTGCATGATGTGAGAGTCCCAGGTAATCAATAAAAATAATTCCAGTCACAAACCTAAAATAGATAGGTGACAGATGATAGATAGATAGATAGATAGATAGATAGATAGATAGATAGCGAAGATGACTACATAGTTTCTGCTATTACAGCAGTTTCTTCTGAATTGAAATATTCACATGTGGGATAGAGGTTGGGGCTCACAAAATTGAAGAGATAAATGAATTTTACACCTCCCTCTTGGAAAGGGGAAACTTAGAACACCCCACTCCCTCCCCAGCTTGACGGCACCATGAAACAAAGGCTGGGAGAGACTGCCCAACCAAGCCCTGGGAAGGAAGTTTCTTGGACGGATCAAGCTGCTAGCAAAGTGTGCAGAGGTTCCCACGGTGTAGCCCTTGTGAGTTGGGAGCTGTGCTGGTGTGGGCTTTCTTGTGATGTGGCTGCTTTTGAGCACCTCTGATCCTGTCAGCAACCCCTCCCCCATATTCTTGTAAGTAACCCCAATAAAAACTTGTTGGTCCACCAAGCTGGACTTTGATGCAATGGTTACTCTGCCTTGTCCTGGGTTGCCTTTCTGGGGTAAGTGAGCATGTGTGTGTTGTGTCTTCCCAGGAAAAGTTATTAATGACCTCTGGCCTCTACATGGGCCTGTACACACACACACACACACACACACACACACACACACACACACTTATTCTACATGGACACATAAAGACACATGGATTTTAGTGCTTATGCAAAATTACCTTAAGGTGTCATTTCAAAACCTGGACAATTTTGTATTCATTAAATGTTAGGCTTTAAAAAAAATTTTTTTTAATCATAGTCACCATAGAATCAGGTGACCAATATTTAAGAACCCTGGCTCAAAACCATAACCTGGTCCTCTGTTATGTTCCAGAAATCAGCTGTGATACAACTATTCAAGAAACATCCTTGGGACCATTCTAGGTAGTAAAGGGTGGGGCCAACTATTTAAGCATGGAAGGGACTTCACGTGAGGTCACCTCGCACAAGGGCTTGAGCAATAGCTTTTCCATGGTTGGCTAACGACTGTGTCCTGCTCGCTCTCATCAGGCCTGCAGTGTAAAGTCGCCCTGCTCTCTTTTAAAATCACAACATGCCTTGCTCTGTACAAGATAAAGGCCATTTGCAACCTCAACGTGACCACAGTTCAACTCTCTACCCCCACCGCTTGTTTTCCTCCTAATCAGGAGGTAGAACCTATCACACCCAGGTCCTTCACTTTGGTCTGATTGGTTATGCCAGGCATACATTCATTCCTAGTTCATTACCAAGCAGGAAACAGTCTCTCAACAGTTACCTTACACAAGGAAGTCTCAAACCTCAAATGTGAAACCCAATAAATCTTTACTGCAACAGGGGATGGGTCTTGGGAGGCAAGCTCGCCCTAGCTGAGAAAAACTGGCATACATTATCAGAACTGGATCCTTTCCCTTGAGATGGAAAAGGTCTCTCTTGAGTCATGTGGACTGCAAAGAGTAGGGGCAGACACCTAGATAGAATCAAGGTTTTCCTCAGAGAGAGAGAGAAAATGGAGTAGACAGTGTCTTTATCATCACAGTGTCTGCAGTGTGAGGTTAGAGGATAGAGAAAGAAGCAAGCCAAAGATCTGATGTAGTATAATAAGGACAATCGTGCCATTCCCCTCTGGACACTCTGTGAACAGCAAGCTCTAAGTCAAACGAGGAGTCATAGAAAGTTCCACAGGAAGCCGATGCCTGAGCTGAGTGGGTGGGAAAGAAGGAGCGAGTAAACTGAGGCAGGGGAAAGGGAGCCTACCACGTAAAGGCAGCCGGACAGGATCATAAGCTTAAGATGTCTGCAGCTGCTGACACCCAAGGGGCATGAGAAAATGAGAACCCTGAGTTAGAACTTGACTCATGCACTCTGTCCCCGGATGCAAGTATGGGAAGGAATATTCCATCACAGGGCAGATCAGAAGCAAAGGATGCAGGGTTGTCTCTCATGGAAAGTTCATTCTCAGATACAGCCTCATGCAGCCCAGGTTTCTCAAATGTGTTTTCCTGAGACTGGGTTTTGGTAAGTGTTTTGCTTGGAATCACAAATTCCAGGCATAAGGCTAAAGAGAGTAGTTCAAACAGGTTTATAAAACTTTGGATAACTATAAAACCCTTTGTCTTCATCTCATCAGTTTTCCATTGAGGTTTATACCACAGAGCTACATATGTGCCTTTGTGGGCTGTGTCTGCCATAAAGTTAGCGCTGCACACATGATAACAATAAGCCTTATAGACACATTTCAAGAATAAATCTTAGATGGCATGGCACATCCTGCCCTGGCTTTTCCCTCTGGCCTTGGCTTTTGTCCTCTGATGAAAATAAATGAGGGGCTGCCCCACCCCACCCCAGTGAGTTTACTACTGTACAAGCTTTGCAACTTTCCATTACCCCCTCCTTCAGTTTGCTGCCTCTTGCTTCTTTGTCAACACTGTAGCTTAGCTGCCTGGTGTGGAAAGTCATTCCTGCAACCCTAACCCTTCAATGGGGAGGCTGAGGTACATCTTAAGTTTGAGGCCTCCTTGTAAACATAGCAAATCCCTCCCTCAAAAGCAAGACAGAAGTGGTTGGGGAGATTCACTGGCCTTGTGAGCATGAGGACCTGATTATGAATCCCCAGCACCCATGTAAAAGGCTAAGTGCCCTGCTGGGGAGGCAGAAACAGGAAGCTGAAGACTTCCTGGGCAGCTAGTGTGGTCAAACAGGTAAGCTCCATGTCCATTGAGAGACCTTGTCTCAAAACGTAAGATAGAGAGCAACTGAGGAAGAGATTTCACTTTGGCCTCTGACCCTCCCATGTACACATATGTACACAACACATGAACATGTCTGTGTGCACGTCCACACAAAACAGAACAGAGATCTTTAGCTTAGAGATTGAGGGGTGTAGCTTAGTGGAACTGTTTAGCATGCACGCATCTCTGGATTCAATCATCATCACTTCAACACACACACACACACACACACACACACACACACACACACACACCAGTCTGTATCTTTTAGGAATCTATCATTGAGCGACTGGCCCAATTTAGAAAGTTTCTGTACTCCTCTATGAATTTTATACTTGTATTTATCACATGACATAGTAACACTGACTTTACTTTTCTGTTTTCTCCACTGGAAGCAGACTGTGCCATTACTTATTGCCTGCCTAGCATGCATTGCTTTTTTCCTCATTGCTAATGAGACACTGACTTTTTTCT